TAACCCTAGTCTTCATTTGCTCGGTCGGTGCAGAAGAAGAGGACGTTAAACCTAATCTTACTTCATTTCCTGTATTAACTATTATGGTATGTAGAGGTCAACATGAAAACATCAACTCGTTAGAAGATGGCTGACTTCCGGTTACGCACATTTAAATGAGGCAAACGTTTACACAGTGATTCTGGACTAGTGACATCAGGTGTTCCAGAAAGAACAAATATTACCTGTTTCGTACACGAAGTGGATAAGGTTTACAAGATGTCAGTAGTGTCCAACCAAGAATATTTACACCAGAGTGAAATTATTGTGGGAATATTATGACCGAGAACCGGGCGTCGTGAGGGGTTCGGTGGGGGAACGTGACGCAAACAAAACATGACATCAGATGTTTCAGAACATCCCGTGTCCGGGACACGAAATGGTTAGGGTTTATAAGATTGCAGTAGTGTTCCACCAACCTCGGCAGTTGGAATTCGATATAAGTGTAGACCGGGTAAAATTTCCCTTATAGCACACTGTATGACGTATGTGCGTCGTCATTAGCACAGTCAGAGCAGAACAGTTGGACGTTAAACCCCATTTCATTTCATTTATTGTGTCCCACCAAGAATATTAACACGAGAGTGAAGAGAGAGAGAGAGAGAGAGGGAGAGAGAGAGATGGGGTTTAACGTCCACTCGACACAAACTAGGTCAATTCGGGACTAACATATAATTTAATTTTATTTTGATAAATCGCTTGCGTATGGGGGTCTTTAGCAGTGGGAGGAAACCGGAGGACCCAGAGAAAACCCACGAGGGTTGGATTATATAAAAGAGTGAAAAGAGAAAAAGGATAGTAAAAAATACATAAATGAATAAAAGAGTAAAAAAATATGTTAATGTTAGATATGGAATGTTCTGTTCATATATAAAACACGACAAGAATAGACACAAGATGTATTAAATTTCTTCTATCTTCTATATTTAGTTGTACACTCATACAGACGGTACTTCTACCAGCCATCTACGATTAATGTTCACGTCGAATTGTCTCTGGCACACAGTCATATTGTTTAAAGAAACAATTATGACTCTTTGTATGTTAAAATGCAATAAAATGAAATGGTGTTTAACGTCCTACTACTCAAACTGATGACCCTTTACATTCACGCCAATATGTACACGGGACCTCGTTTTTCATCCCATCCTAACGACTATACGTTCTACATTGTCATCCCACCCCACCCGCCCTGCATCACACAGGTAAGCATGCCGGAAAATCCAGATGAGGTTTCTCGGCCAGCACAGGAATCGAACACGGGACCTCCAGGCTAACAAGCCAACGTCTTATTCACTCGGCCACTATGATTCCCTTGACAAACACAGACATAAGGGCAGATAATTTGAATGAACCTAGATTTTTTACAAGCACTACCAAATTGTACCTCCCGTGTATTTAAAAGATCCCTTGCAGCTGTTAATTGCCAGGATCCTGGTTTTTCATTCCACATACTACCCGACCCAACCCTACTCCACAGTTACTACCCCTGAATCAACCCAACAACCACTACCCGACCCAACCCTACTCCACAGTTACTACCCCTGAATCAACCCAACAGCCACTACCCGACCCAACTCCATCCCACAATCACTACCCCTGAATCAACCCAACAGCCACTATCCGACCCAACCCCACATCAAATCTACTGTCGCTTAATCAACCCAACAACCACTATCCGAAGAGAATTGAGCACGGAACAGTCTGGTTGTAAGACAAATGTCCTACCAAACAACGGGCCTGGCATCCATACAATCCATTGATGAATCCAATGAATGTGCGAACTATCAATAATAACATATATTCGAATAGTTTCAACATAAAAAGGCAAAACCTAGTAACTCACTTTTTTATCAAAATTTAGTTAGGACCAAATTTTTAGTTACTAGGGTATGTGCTTCCTGTTGTTGTACTAGATATTCCAATCTTTTGATTTTGTAAGCAGTTACATCCATGATACAATCTAGCAACTTCTTTCATTTGCCACAGCAAAACCTAGTAACTCAATAGTCAAATCAATGGATGAGCTGGGGTTTAATATTCATTCATTACGTTTTCCTTTGTTTTCTCAAAATAAGAAAAAAGTGAGTTACTAGGTTTTGCCTTTTGACGGGAGAATGACGAAGTAGATGTATGTGCATGTGGAGCTCGACATGCACATAACTACATGTAATATGATTTTGCAAGGGAAGAAAATTTTAAATTAATGTTGATCATAAATCTCAAAAAACAAATATTTATCAGAAAGAGAAAGAATCTGGATTATATTTATCATTTTATCTGCTTTAATAAAACCGTGTGAGATATTAAAACCATCGTGGAGATTTCATTTTTATTTTTATTTTTTGTTCCAGGCGGCGTGTAGACTCGACCAGACAAGCCATTTGGATTTATTATGGCATCAAACTGGGTTTAAAAGCTTTAGAATCCATTATAAGATAACTCTGTTTCTTTGTAAATGATTTGTTGATAATATTAAATCAGGAGAATGAGAATAAGTTTCATTGAAATGCTTTTAATACACGACCATAATAACATTTAGCCTATCGGTGCCAATAGCAACTACAATAGTGAACATAATTCTACTTTAGCACATGTGCTCTGGTCTTATGTTAGCAACATTTTTTTAGAACGAAATGAAATGAAATGGGGTTTAACGTCCTACTGTTCTGCTCCTAAACTGGGCTAATGAAGACGGGCTGATATTTATGTATTCCAAACCCGTTGTTTGTTCCAGGATGCCGTAAAATGTTGGGGTGTGATTTTCTACTTCGTGGGTATTATTATAACACAGTAGTACAGATGGACTATTAAATTACAGAATATTACATCGGATGCACAGTATCCATGAAACCAAGCCCCGAGTATTGTGTTTCTGGATCATAGATATTTCTCATAAAAAGTCAATGAAAGTTGAGTAAATTCTAGAGTTAGTCTGAGAATGTTTTGTGAATTCGGGGCCAAGATAATTACACTGTGTGGAAATGAAATGAAATGAAATGGGGTTTAACGTCCTACTGTTTTGCTCCGAACTGGGCTAATGAAGACGGGCATACGCCATACAGTGTGCTATGAGGGAAATTTTGCCCGGACAGCGACACTACGGCCTTTTAAGGGATCTTTTACGTGCACGCCAATGTGTACACGGGACCTTGGTTTTTCGTCCCATCCGAGCGACTAGACAGCTTTCCTTGTCAGCCCCTCCGTCCAGCATCACTGACAAGGGAGAACCACGCCGGAAAATCTGGATGAACTTTCTCGGCCAATGCAGGGATCGAACACCCGACCTCCAGGCTAGCGACCCAGCGTCTTACCCACTTAGCCACGTGATCCCCACACTGTGTGGATCTTTATACAGAATTTAAAACTTACTTTATGTGAGTATATAAATATTACAACTAATTCACTTTATCTTTAAACATGGTAAAACTTTATTTAAAATTTGTTTTACACTTTGATAGGTTGAAGGGTGGATGTATAGCATTACAGTTGATCTGACATTATCTTCCATACACGATAAACTACTACAAGCTATCTTCAGTGTGATATAATCAGAAACTTGATATTGTAGTTTTTAAAGATGCCTTCCCACGTACAAATTGTGTAATTTAATGATATATTTAGACCAAAAACTTCTAATTTATTTATCAAAAGTTTGCTTTAAATCCTTCTCAAAACATTTTCTTGAAAGGAAATACTCCATGACGTAAAAAAATAAATCTATTTCAAGTATCCTTTTTCGTCACGTGACGTAACTGTCATGGCGTTTTTCTACTACGATTGAGTGTTTCTAACTACCCCTAAATACATCGTGGGAATGCATCTTTACGTATAGGGTTTGGTAATAGAGAGAGTAATATGGGGTTTAATGTCCACTCAACACAAACTAGGTCATTTCGGGACCAACATCTTTCATTTCAATTATGTGCTCGCCCAGAAAACCCACGAGGTTGCACAGATGATCTCACTCCTTGTCACGTACATGCGGGGAATAGAAACCACGCCACTTGATTCAATGACAGACCTTATGATCTAACACGCACGCGTGGTAATAGTTTGATTAAACAAGGAGAAGGAGATGATGAATTCTCAAGTAAAACATAAAAACGGTGTACACGATAACAACGCTGACTCACTGGCAATAAAACACGAGATTTAATAGCGGTCTACATTTATCTTCCATGACGAATAACTAGAGGTAAAAATTGTGTAAAACAAAACCGTGGGCTATGTTCAATGCAGACCATGGGTTACAAACCGTGGGTTATGTTCAAAACAAACCGTGGACTATATTTAATACAAAACGTGGGTTATGTTCAAAACAAACCGTGGACTATATTTAATACAAAACGTGGGTTATGTTCAAAACAAACCGTGGACTATATTTAATACAAAACGTGGGTTATGTTCAAAACAAACCGTGGACTATATTTAATACAAAACGTGGGTTATGTTCAAAACAAACCGTGGACTATATTTAATACAAAACGTGGGTTATGTTCAATACAAACCGTGGGTTATAAAATGAATGATATGAGGTGTCTGGCATGGAAAAGTTCCCGTATGTTTGAAATACCCAGACAGTTGGAATTCGAATTACGAAATAAGAGTACCCCTCCCCCCACCACCCATTAACACACTACATGCGATACGCTCGCTTTCATTAGACCGAAAAAACGTACGTCGTTAATCACCATTTCATTTCAGCTCCATTTATGTATGTTTTGTAGTGTTTTGTCGCCTATCCGAAGGACTTGGCCCATTGTTTTATCCCATGTTGGAATTAACCAAGAGGTTCTTCTGGGACCAAAATGGGATTCTAACCCAAAACACTCTACCGGGTCCGGATCGATGCGTAGCGGGATGCAAACTGGGGGTTAATGTACCCTACCATCTAAAGTGATGTTGCAGGCAAGAGGATGAAGGTTGCGCAATAAATGTATTATTACTAATTTAATGTTAAAACAGCGTGAACTAGGAGAAGGAGGAGAGAGAATAATGTAGAAAGTTTAAAATAGACTAACTGGGGAGGATGTTAGTGGAGGAATCGACTCGTCAAGAGATCTATAATTATCTACAGACTGTTAGTTTTAGTCTAGTTAGAGTCTGGAGTGTGAGGAGTTATAACACTGAAGCTTGGCATCCATCCGATACCCTCATTGTATAGTCTAGGTAAGCACTTTATAACTCTACTCATTTCAAATATTGTTCATTTATTTCTACGCTCGCTGAATTGTAATGAAAAAGAGTTTTACTTTTCAGGTTTATTTGCACTCTTGTAAAATTGTAATGCAATATGAAATGAAATGGGGTTTAACGTCCCATTTTCTGCTCTGACTGGGCTAATGAAAACGGTCATACGCAGTGCAGTGCGTGTTATGAGGGATTTTTTCCCCGGACAGCGGCACTACAGCCTACTCTTTCCAACTATCAAGGATGCTTATGTGCATGCTAACATGTGCACATATCTTCCGATCGACTAGACCTTGCTCCGAGTCCAGCTCTCCGTCCTGCACCACACTGACATGGGTAAACCACACAGGAACCTCTCAGCTCTCGTTCCTGCACCAATGTCATGGGGAAACTTACCCACTGAGCCACTGGTGTGGTGTTAGAGCGTCTGACATTCTACAAAACCCGCGGTCCGAAATATATTAATTGACAGTGCACGTTAAAGATCCCTTCATTGTTTATAATTCGAAGAAGATTAAGTGCCCCCCCCCCCCCCCGCAAATTGTAATTATGTTAGTATCATAATGACCTACATACTGCATTCGGAAAAGAAATCCTGTTTAAAAGATTTACATGTTGATCCATTCTGGAACTTTTGATGTATTCAGATGAGTTGAGTTTTGATTGATAATAGTTGTTCAGAAAAAGATAAGCATACCTCATGCACGAAATTGATAATATCACATCATAATTCCAAGATGCAGATGCTGGTGGAGACACAAACTAGGTCATTTCGAGACTAACATATTGTTCAATTTTATTTCAATGGTTCGATAGTGCGTAAGGGTCTCTAGCAGTGGAAGGAAACCGGAGGGCCCGGAGAAAACCAAGGAGGTTGGACAGAAGACCCTATTCTTTGTCACGTGCAAGCGGGGAATAGAAACCACACCACTTGACTCAATGGCAGACCTTATTATCAAACGCGCACGCATTACCAATGGCTGGTACGTTGATAATATGTGGTAAACAGATGAGAAGAGAAGATGTACCGTGTAATTGGTGTGATATACAACTTTATAATTAATACCTTCACCTGTTTCATACTCCATAAACATGCTTTGATTCATGGAAATGGTTTTATACAAAATACGTTCTCTTAACTTCTATATTAAATTCCCAATACATTACAATGCTAATTTATTGGAACAAATATTCATGATGGGATTCGCCTGGAAAGATGGGGGCGGGGGGGGGGGGGGCGTAGTAGTTTGGGGGCGGGCTCGAATCCGCGTGACTTTACAAACCGGGCCATTTTTGTCGTCAGTGGCGTATGCGTGGCTATAAAAATAAACGTATCTAGTAACTCGGAGATTGTGAAAAAAGTCCCAAGGCCCATTAATATATTCTTTTGCGTGGACATAAGAAAATGGAAGAAGAGCAGGTGGTATTGGCCGAGAAAGTTTCTAGAGATTAGTGGTCTAGGGTGGAGGGCCTTGCAAGGAACAATGTCTAGTCATTCGGAAGGTACAAAAAACCAACGTACACGTAAGACAACCCTTGTCATTTGGAATTCGATATAAGAGTAGGTCGTAGTGGCGCTGTCCGGGCTAAAAGTTTCCTCATAGCACATTGTATGACGTATACCCGTCTTCATTAGCATTAGCACAGTCGATGCAGTAAAGTAGGACGTTAAACCCCATTTCGATTCATTCCATTTCATTATATTTGATCACGTTGACCCGACATATTGTATAAAGATCGTGGTGCCCAGACATGGTGATCAGTAAGCTCGGAAATAATACAAATTATTCAATACAACATTTACACTAATCAATAGCCCGCCAATAACTCACAGCAGACGACATTATTCGGGGAAAAGATCCTTTATCTGGAGCAGACTCTACATTTTAAAGAAGCCACTGGTTTGTGAAACAAAAATGAATTTTCAATTATATTATCAGATTTCAATAGTTTTCTGCAGAACAGAAATTTCCTGAATGTTGGCATTGACACGATCACGTGATCATTTGCTGCAGACCTTATATCTACTGCTCGTTTGGGTAATATTGTGTATTGTTTTAAAATATATTTTATTACTGCAGAGTAGAATAATTGTACAAAACACTGCTTCTTTAATAAGTTAACCACGGGGGGGGGGGGGGGGGCTGGATGGCTGAAATGAAATGAAATGAAATGAAATGGGGTTTAACGTCCTACTGTTCTGCTCCTAACCTGGGCTAATGAAGACGGGCATACACCATACAGTGTGCTATGAGGGAAATTTTGCCCGGGCAGCGGCACTACGGCCTACTCTTATATCGAATTCCAACTGCCAAGGGATCTTTTACGTGCACGCCAATGTGTACACGGGACCTCGGTTTTTCGTCCCATCCGAACGACTAGACAGCTGTCCTTGTCAGGCCCTCCGTCCTGCATCACTGACAAGGGGGAAACCACGCCGGAAAATCGTGATGAACTTTCTCGGACAATGCAGGGATCGAACACCCGACCTCCAGGCTAGCGAGCCAGCATCGTTACCCACTTAGCCACGTGATCCCCCTGGATGGCTGAATGGATAGCACGTGCGCGCTGTATCATAAAGCCTGCCATTGAGTCAACTGGCGTGGTTTCGAATCCCCGGTTTTACGTGACAAGGAGTACGGTCGCCTGTCCAACCTCGTGGGTTTTCTCCTGGTCCTCCAGTTTCCTCCCACTGCTTAAGACCCCTACGCGCAAGCGAATTATTGAAATAAAATTAAACCATATGTTAGTCCCGAAATGACCTAGTTTGTGTCGAGTGGACGTTAAACCCCATTTCTCTCTCTCTCTCTCTCTCTCTCTCTCTCTCTCTCTCGGGATTTTGCGGCATGGTTCCCCTTGTCAGTGGTGCGCGCAGAACGGGGGGCCTGTCGAGGGACAATGTATAGTCCTTCATATGGGACCTTAATCTTAACAAAATGAATTATTGTTGGCCAACGTGTTCATTACATTATCCATTTTAGAACTTTTTTTTTCTCCTTACAAGTTACAGCTACTTATAGTAAAGAGCTGGTCGTTCTTGCTATAATAGTTCGAAAATAGATAATGCAAAATGAATATATTGAAAATTACTTTATTCCGATCAAAGTTGTCACTGTGAATAGATTACCGTAATCAAGGTACTGGTATATTCGAGTCTTAGCCTCGCTTTTCTGTTTTTAAATTAGATCATTAAATGGCTGAACCATTCTAATCTAGTTACAATCTCGAGCATCCGATGACATCGAGAATTGATTATGGTCATGTCATGTTAATATGTCTAATTAATAATGTATAAACGTTTTAAAAGAAAAGACCAGCAATTGACAAATTTAGCTCTTAAATAATGTTTCTTTAAAGATCGTAAAAATATGGGCCAAGATTTTCTTTGCGATTGTGTATTGTTAGTAATAAGTGAATATTTATCATTCTTGATGGATGAGTGTTCGTGCTTTAAGGTAAAATGGTTGGAGGTTGATATATTACACGGTATGACTGACTGGCGAATACGCTGATTGAGCCGATTACAGCAACTAGAAGATTCTAACACCGTAATAACCGACATGTAGAAATAAACCAAACCTATTTATAGATTCATCAGTGCTAAATGAATTGAACATATTCAAGATCCGTGTTATATATATTTAACCTCTGTAAGTTATAATGGAGCCACGGTGGTTCAGTGAGTAAGATGCTGACTCGCAAACCAGGAGATCTTCGGTTCGATCACGGTGTAGGCCGAGGAAGTTCCTTTGGATTTTCCGGCGTAGTGTAGGACGATGGGCCTGACAATATCACTATCTAGTCCTTCGGATGGACGAAAAACCAAAGTCCTGTGCATGTAAAAGAACCCTATAATTGGACATTTGGAATTGAAATAAGAGTAAGACGCTGGCTTGCACCCGTTTTCCAGTGTGATTTTCCCTTGTCAGTTGTGTAAGATGATTCGTCAGACAAGGACAACGCCTTCTCGTTCATATGGGGCAAAAAACCAAGACCCCGTGTATACATTAGCGTACACGTAAAAGAACCCTGATTTGACATTTGGAATTCGAAATAAGAGTAGGCTGTACCAGCGCTGCTCGGTCAAAATATCTCCCATAGCACACTTCGTGGACAATGTCCGTCTTTATTAGCCCAGTCAGTGCCGAAAATTTCATTTCATTTAATATTTCGGGGATCACGGTGGCTAAGTGGGTAAGACGCTGGCTCGCTAGCCTGCAGGTCGGGTGTTCGATCCCTGCATTGGCCGAGAAAGTTTATCCAGATTTTACGGCGTGGTTTCTCTTTGTCAGTGATGCAGGACGGAGGGCCTGACAAGGACAGCTGTCTAGTCGTTCGGATGGGACGAAAAACCGAGGTCCCGTGTACATATTGGCGTGCACGTAAAAGATCCCCTGGCAGTTGGAATTCGATATAAGAGTGGGCTCTAGCGTCGCTGCCCGAGCAAAATCTCCCTCATAGCACACTGTATGGCGTATGCCCGTCTTCATTAGCCCAGTTTAGGAGCATAATAGTAGGACGTTAAACCCCATTTCATTTAATATTTATCATGCGAATATGATTAGGTTTTTCTATAACGCAGAACAGATGTATTAGTTAATTGAAATATACATTAATTACCTACTTTATGTTATAAGTTAATTAATTAATTAAACTGGAAGTGTTATCAGATGCTTTAATAGAGATTAATGTCTAACTTTTACTATCCTCATACAGGGCCTGACAAGGATAACTGTCTATTCGTTCGGATGGGACGAAAAACCGCAGTCCCCTCTACACATTGACGTGCACGTAAAAGATCGAAACATAGATAATATCTCCACAACTAATGTCTTCATGACTTGTACCAGGAAAATAGATCTCTACAATCTCCTAGTTTCTGGGGCAACATTGGCATTTTCAATAACGGAAAATTCGCTGAAATAAATGTCATTTCCATTAATTCGCTTGACGATAGGAGGAATCCAGAAAACCCCCAC